GTCGAAAATGCGAAAGTGCGAAAAGTCGAAAACGCGAAAGTGCGAAGACCAAAGTCCGCGTTTCCGAGGTTGCCGCCGCCGAGGTGGAAAGTGTCGCAGATTCGCCCCTTTGCGCCTGTTTTTCTCGTGTAGACCCGAAACGTGTAAGTACTCTGTGATTCGAGTGCGTGTACGTTTACAGGTGCGGTAATACACTGCGCATGGCGAGACGCATTTCAGCGGAGTCGTTTCCACGTCGAGAGACGCTTATTGGCACGTGTCGCCGATATCGGGGGCTGTAAAATCGAATTTTCGAATCCGATGGGTCCTGAATCGGATTTCGAGAGGCGTCACCGCGCGGGCGGCTCGTTCTCGACGTTCGTAAATAGTTAATGCCGTGTTAATCCGCGGAATGGAAGGACCGAGGAAGGACGAGATTAATGGGGGGAAGGGGAGGGAAAAATGTCAACTCGGTGGACGAATGAAATATTATAACGCAGCCTTAGGCCCGAGGAATCCTCAAGGAATCCGCGCGGAATTCTCTCGGAATCCTGGAGGAGAACCAACGCGGACGTTTCCTCCGGCGATTCGTACGGGAGGAAATTTAAATTTCCCGCGAGGAAGGCGAGCGTTAACTCGCGGAGGAACGTCCCCCAGGGCCGCTGTCGGGAAGTTTCGCGTCCTAGGATATGTTTTTAAGAGGGGAGCGCCTCCTCGGCGAGCTCCGCAAAAACCAGGAAGGAGATGCGTCGGCCGAGAACTTTCCTATCTGGAGGAGGCCTTCCTCGAATATTTCATCAGGGCCCGGGAAGCGGTAAACAGCGCCGGGAAACGCCCCACTGGAACAATTATCCACGTCAGGACCGCTGTTAACTGTTTTGCCGGGGTATAATGCCCCGTTTTATAATACCCCCGTGCTCGACGTCCTTGCGAAATCACTTCGCGGTAAGTGTCCTCGCACTTAAGCCGCGCTAAACGACCGATCAACGCACGGAAGCCATTTCTCCGCGCTTTGCGCTCCGTAATCGTCGGGCCTCGGAAAGCGTTTTTCTTTCGAGCCTACCCCCGTCTCTATCTCGCCTTTCCCGTTTACCCACGATACGGACGTTTTGTCCCGCGGTCTTTTCCCGCGTTTTCCGTCAATCCCTTGGATATCGAGAGATGGAAACGACGGAAGGATCCCGGTCGACGCGCGTTCCCAATTGGATAGTGCAAGCTTCCGAGGCTTTCGGGAAAAAAAAAAAAATAGAGAGACAACCCGAGAAGCAGGGGTGAACCCCTTCGGGAACTATTTATGAAGTGCGTTGTACTATTAGTGTCGCGGTGGTGGAGGGACTAAATATATCTTCCCGAGGCTCTCTTGCAGGTAAATTAAATGATTCTCTGGGTTAAAGTGATGTCTGGCAGCTCGATCCGTGCTCTTTCTCGTGGCACTACTGCCGGTCCATTTCAGCGACTCCACCGAGACGAGCAACGCTAACGTATTAACACGGCATCCGCGAGTACCGGGTGGTGATTCACAAAAGAGCACACCCGTCCGTCAAGCGTGAGCATCATCGAAAGATGCGACGGCTGCGAAATCGATGGCTCCTCGATGACGACGTCACGTCCGTAACATATGCTGACGTATACGAAGCGAGAAAGCTGGATTGATCAGTCGGCGAAGTAGTACCGAAGCCCAGAGGGGCTCCGACTTCCGTTTCCCTTCCTACACGAGAGCCACGGTCCGATACTAATTTTTCCCACTTCGAAGGGAACAGGATAAAAGGGTCTTCGGGAAGGAAAGCGTGCCGTGAATGCTTGCATCGAACGAAAAAAATCGATCGGACCTCCTGGCCCAACGATCGAGCCTTTCACATCCAGCAATGAGAAAATATCCTGGAAGGATCCTCTCGAAGGCTTCCCTAACGACCTAACGACAGGGGGTAGATTTTTCTCCACGAAGAAAATTACGGGGAGTCGAAATCTGCGCCTCGAATTCGAGTCACAGTATAAAGCTCCCTGCTCTCCGAAGCCACCGTATCACGCGAGAGCTTTCGGGGCCAAGTTTCACGAAGAAATATAGCGCGGTAAACCAGCTGGTGGTTTATTTCCGAGAGTATTTCGAGAAGACCGGAGACACCGATGGCCTTACGGCATTACACTTTAGCGGCCCGTAAACTTGCCGTTGCTTCGGTGCGTTTGATAGTTCCGTTTGGCGAGAGGGAAAGAAAGAAAACGGAGAACATCGCGAGCGAGTGGGAAGACGTCGAGTCGGGCCGGAAAACCCAGGGGAGCTTATCAACCTGCGTGAAAAGCGTCCGCGAAATTACATTCGTACGCGCGGTCCAGGGAAAGCCATTTCTCTCTTTATTACCTCTCCCAAGCAAGTACTCGGAGGGTTGTAATCGTTGTCACTCGTGTCGAGTGGGGCCGCCGAGGGAGAGAACTCTTGTCAAAGAAAAATGCATTCGTTAATGTTTACTGCACGGTAAACGTAACTTTGCCATTATTCTCGCGAGTGCGCTATCCAGCTCGTCGAAAACTACATTCGTTAATGATTACTTCACGGTAAACGTAACTTTGGAATTTTTCTTGAATGCATTATCCGGCACGTTAGCTGCACCCTGCCAAAAGGCATCGATTCGATTTGCGATTCCGACTTTTCCCCTAAAGGGCCGATCGTTTCCGATTACGAGTTCTTGACAAGCTCCAAGTTAGCCTTATCGAAGTTCGACTCGAGGTCGGGTTTGAAAACCCCACTTGAAGGTATACGCCGTCGAGAAGCTGGACAGTTATCGAGTAGTCCTAAGTGACGCTTAAACGTCGCCATTCGAGATATGCGCGAACTCGAAATTCGATTAGTCGTTCGAGAAGATGTCTTGGAAAATCATGACGATAAGAGAAAGGAGTGTCGGGCGGAGGCGTAAAGTGGGAATCGCGAAGAAATCCCGATTAAATGGAGGAAGAGAAAAGGAAAGAGGAAATTGGAGGGTCGTTCGGAGTCTACTTTTCCGCGGTACCGCGGCATGGCGATAAACGCGAGTGCCGCTTCTTTTCGATAGAATGCCGAAGATCCGATACATTAAGGACGTATTCCGATACATTGGGCCGCGTTGTAGCGATAGGCGAAACGCGCAAAAGACAAAAGACGTTGGCTTCGATGGATTCCTCCGGATCTGCGTGGACGGATGATTTCGTGCCTGGGAGGAAAAATCGTTCCCCCGGAGTCGCAACAATGGATTCCATCGGGGCTACCTTTTAGGAAGATGCATCGCGAGAACAAATGCGACAGTCGTTCATCTCCAAGGGAATTCCGAAAAGTCGAACCCATTGAGCGAGATATTGCGCCGCGTCTCGACGCGTGCAATCCCGCATTGCAGGAGCGCACCCTCGAATTGCATTCGGAGACCCCCGTCAAGTGGCGGCCATTTGTCCAGGAAAGACACGCGTTGGATGGCATTTTAAACACTCTCGACTCCTGTCGCGCCACTCTTCCTCGCGAGAATACTTCGGGAGAAACGGAGCGGAAACGTTTGCTAGCATATGCGCAAGGGGTAACGGAAGAGGAAAAGGGAGATTTTTCTTCGCTCGCTCGTCAGAGCCGAAAATACGGCTCGGGATTAAATAAATCGGATATGAAAGCAGAGCCGGAAGCGAACAGCGCCGGTTCGCGATCGAGGGAAGAACGATGCCGTGTTTTCCGTTGAACCGTGACACGAGGGCTTTCGGGTCGGACCTCGAGGGGGTAGGTGCGCATTAGGTGGACTTATCATACGAATAAACGGATCGGTGCTTTATTCCCGGGGACGCTCTGAAATCCGGACCGCGGAGGAAGGATTCCCCTTTTAGCGCGTGGGAAAAAACGGGAAAAAAGAGGAGAAGAAGAAGAACGACCTCGCAGAAGGGAGCCCAAATGGGTCATTCCGTGCCAATTCGCATGAAAAACGATGCACCGTCTGAGGCTTTGCCGTAATTCCGGGATCTCGCGGTCTTACCTCGACTCGCGCTCATTGTCACTCGAACCGGTGACCAAGATTTTAAAGGCATCCTCAAAGGTACGCACACACACCCCCTCTTTGCGGATCCCACCCTCGGAATTAACGTTTCAAATGGTGCCGCGCGCGACAAATTTTCAAGACCACCCTCTCTCAAAGGGAGGAACGTTCACCCCCGGAGATTCTTTCCCCGGAAACTCGTATCAAAGTTAACGTTTCCCTCGCATCCCCGGGACCCGAAAGCGCGGCATTCCGCGTCGGACGACGTCGGAATACCTTGACAAGCCCTCCAACCCGAGGAATCGTCAAAGACAAGGACCGCACCCTTTTCGCCTCTAATTTCCTCACCAAGAGAATCCCTCGACGAACGTTTAAGGAAGCCCGTGTAGGGACCAAGTTATGATATCTTTTTCTCCTCCCGACAAAACTCCGTGCAGCGTTTTTCAAACCTGTTGCTCCTTGCACATATACCGAGCACGCGGATGACCGAGGCGACCGAAATGACTCGCGGTGTCTCTTCGCGGGGGTGTACAAAAGAGAGCGACCACGTCGACGAAAAGGTCGAAGGATCATCCGCCGGGGTAAACGCCGCGTTGCGTCGAAAATGTAACGGGGATAACCGCGCTCTATTCCTGGAAATAAATTTTTATTCTACCTCCGACCAGGTTCTACCTCCAGCACCACGAGTGCGCCAAAATCGCGAGGTCGGCGTCCAACGAGAGAGGCCACTGCGCCCGATTACGACATAGCCGGAACAAAACTCGGCGTTCCGCCCTCCCGATTTCAATCATCAGGCCGAACGTTTCCGAATCCAGCCCCGAACCGACCAATCCTGCCAAAATCTACGTCCTAACGGCGTAACGCGTCTCCTGCTGCGCTCGCCATGATCAATAGTGTTCCTCGAGTGTTGGCTTGTGCTCGTAACGAATACGTGTAAGGATGTGTGTGCGTGTGAGTATATGCGCGGGCGCGCGCGCGCGTACGAGAGCGTGAGAGGCGAAAGAGTTGGATAAATTCTTATAGAGACATATTTGTGAGACTTACAACGTCGATAATTTGCATTAGAGTAAGGCCGAAGCTCAACAGAAGGGGCTCGGACTCATTACCCACAGGCCGCTCCAGCACGTTGTACGTATCCAGCAGGTCGTTTAGCAGCCGCTTCTCGTGATAACCGCCACTTACCAGCCCTAACCAATTATCACTGTCAGTCAATTTTTGACCCGGCGACTGGTGACACCACGGGTCCATCGCTTCGCATGACCCCTTCCTCCGGCGAGGGGTGCCGACGCCCCCTTCCGGGGGTCGTCTCCTCGATTCCGCGCCACCCCCCGCCGGGGGCGGATGCTTTACTTTCTCGCGAATGGAAACTTCGTAATCCCTCTCGGTGGAAACTTATCAATCAGGCCGAAGCCGGAGACTTTAAGACCCTTTAACTTGGCGGAGCGAAGAGCTTAGGGGCCGCGGGCCGCGGGCGCGAGAAAGCTCCTCCAAGAGTCGCCCCCTCCTAGGGGCCCGAGGTGCCAATTATCAGGGAGATCCAATTTTCGATAACGGACGTTACAACGGCGCCGATTATGCGCCACCCTAACGATGATACTCTCGTATAACGTGTACGCGTTTGCCGGGCCTAAGCGCTAAATAACTGTACGAAGCATCGAGGGGGTAGTGCCCCTGTTCGGGGGTTCCTCGACCATGGACGTGGGATATCTATATGGACCCCGAACGCCGATCCGAACGTGGCCCTATTCAGACTATAAACAGCAAATGGGAAGCAGCGACCAATTATACCGCTGGATTTTGTCGAGGGGAAGAAAGCAGGCAGACAATTTGCTTAACTCGTTAATAACTGCCTGTCATTTACCACGTGCCGCTCCCGGTCTGCATCGGGCCCACGACGGCAGCCATTTTGAGAAACGGAAAACAAGGGACGCTCTTATTCCCTTTGGTAGATTCCTCTCGAAACAGCTGCGCAACGCAATATGGCGGCAAGCTATCTCTTGGCGAGAAAGAGAAAAAGCAGCCTTCCTTATTCGCCCTCCTTTATTCTGGCCAGAGTCGCAAGATTATCAAGGAAGTGATCGAGTTATCGGAGTCGATATATCCTACGTCCATGCTCTCTCGACCAACTTCGCCGGTCCAACCTGCTCATCTTCTGGAGGAAGAAACCTCCCGGTGGCAAATGACGGACATTTATATCAGACCCTGCGATAAATATCGGTACTACGTGACTATCGAGTCCAACGTTACGCTCGATATGCCCGGGGACATTAAATATGCCACCATTCCCGGTGCTCGGAGAACTTTCCTGCCTGTTTACGAGTCCAAGGTACGTCGAGGATATGACGGCGATACGGACCGACAATTATGCATTGATAATGCGCCCGCGAGCGCGTATCTGGGAGGAGGAACGATCGGCTCTTAAAACGTCGTTCCGCTTTCGAGACCGCCTCGTCGAGGGTCCTCCATGTCGCGTTTGCGTATCGAGTCCAACGACAAAATTCCCGGAATAAACCGTGGATGCAAAATTCCTGGCACAAGTCGGTAAATCTCGCGGATAACCGGGAGGGGTCGAGGGCGGATCGAGGGGTCGAAAAATCCGCGGGAACTCGACGAGCCGCGGAATGCCGGAAACGCGTTTGATCGTCCACGTATCGAGTCCATTTATCGAGCAGTCGTGGACTAATAGACTGGAGACACGGGCCGTACAGGGGAGATCCTCGAAGGGGTCGAAACTTTGTCGGGTCGTCCGTCGCTCTTTGGTGCCCGAGTAATCCCAAAAGTCCATTCAGCCGTGTATCAGCCCGACTGCCAACACTCGAGAGATCGGACCTCGAGATTTCCGGAAGACGAGTTTATAGCGCAAAAACCTCCCATCTGTGGGTCAACCGAGGATGATCGATCCCCGGATTCCGCGTGACGGGGGGATGGGACCGGGGATAAATATTTACGAGAAGCCGCGTCGACGACGACGATAAGGGTGACGAGTCCGACGTGACCCGCGCTCCCAGGTGGGGATATACCTCGATATCCGGATGCCTCGATGCCGATGAACCCCGCGACCAATTCCCAAAGTGTCCGGAGGGGTCGGAGGGTCCGGAAGTTTGCTCGGCGGGACCCGATTGCACAGTTCGCGGTGGCGGTCCAATTTCAAGGTTCCAAGTGGCACGGCATTTCCAATTCCAGACACCGTTTGTCCAATTTCAAGGCTTCGAGTACAGCGTCGGGGCCCGCGTATATAGGGAGGGGCAAGGGATCCGACCGTATTAATTTAACCGAAAGTATTCCTGGACGCGAAGGGAAATCCCGGGGATCGGGAATCGCGATTCCGGAAGCGAGAGCACCGATTTCGGTCGCCCGGTCGGGGATTACGACCGGGTTGGCCGCAACACCGGTCCCGCGAATGGGAGTTTCGAAGTAGATTCCTCACGGATGATTTTACCGGCGAACCGACTCCTGGGCCCGTAAGTCGATCGTGAACTATCGATTGCCAAACTTTGGCCACCGCCGCGGCGCGGGGTATTTATACGGTGCCGCCAAGCACAGACGTGGACAACGGGTCGGAGGTCTGTTGGAGGCACCCAAACGAGCCAAATCGGTCTAAATCGGGACGACCGGCCACCAGGAACCCAAATGCTCGGTTCTGCGGGAAACGCGGGAGATGCGTGCCGACGAAGGAGCCTGGTGGCGTCAAAGGTGGACGACTGATTGACAAAGTTTCGCGGAGTGCGCCGCCCCCGGAGTTGAGGGTAAACAGCGGTTTCCCTCTTGCATCCGAGAGCGGCACGAAATTCGCCCGGTTCCGGGATGGGCGGAAAAATAAAAAGAGACGATGAAACGGCGGAAAGGACGGAACCGTGCCGTCTTCGAGCGAATGGGCGTTCGGCGAGAGCGACGTGGAGGACGCGGTGCTCGTCGCGACCTAATCCGTCTCTCCGAGTAAGGGAGCCGCGTTGAAAGTGACATCAATTGAGTCAGCGCCGAGTAAAATCGGTCGCAGTTGGTACGTCGGGGAAGCTGTCCCGGCTCCAGCTCGGAGAACCCCCCGAGGGGTTCACCTTTCATGGCGGGCACTCGCCACCGACGCGTCCTGGGAGCGATCGGTTTCCCTCTATTTTGCGCGCTGGCCAGATGGGACACGACGACGCCCCGAGGCTCTCTCCCGAAACACCTCTACCAACGCAAATACTAAGGCTAATTGACGGACTCCGTTTCGCGATCAAGAAATTCAAACATTGACCAAAGCCCTGCTAACGCGACTCCGCCAGTCGAAGCCCCGAATACCGAACTCTCCCTGTCGAAGAGGACCCTATCGGCTGCGAGCCAATTCGGCCCGCAAAGCCAAGAGACGTCGCGACGGGATTCGCCGTTTAATCTCTGCAATTTAATTGAGACAGATCGATTTCATTTCGGGGAGTTTTCGACGTTCCCCAGAGGGCCTACTCTCGAACTCTTAACGACAGATATCGTTATCGTTAAGGTGAAGTGAAACACCCTTCAAATCAGTCGATTCGAATACAACACTTTTTTTAAGGGTATTAGACCAAACTGTCCGAAACTTTGACACATCGCTCCTGATCATCTAAGAATTGTCCTGACACATTCAAAATTTGGATTTTTTAACAAAATTTTTTAACTCAGCCCAGACCAGAACCAAAATGGCGTCGAGCTCTCATATTTCGATCAATATACAATTATCGAAGGCTCTGATATGAGAATCGAAAGGGTCAGGACAATTTTACGACAATTTAGAACACTCTGGTAATCGATAAACTCGCATTTGAACAGGATAAGAGCAAAAAAGTGTTGTACGCGCTTCTATACTAAAACGATGGTAATACGGGGTCTCGGAGTGAAAATTTAATTCACCTGGAAATCACAGATGGCGCAGGGTGTCCCTCTGCAGTTAATTAGGACCCCAGAAAGCTTGAAATCCAGAGGATTTCTGGAGTTTTACTTCAATTTCTTGATATTTATTATACGGAAACGACAAGTGTAGTATGCCCAATGTAATTCGACACAGCTGTCAATATAAAAACGAACGTCAGCAACGTAGGCATTTAGAAAAATCTTTATTGACGTTGATCAAGTTCCTCGACGTGTTTCACTTCACCTTAACCCATTGGAATAACACGGACTAACGATAACGATATCCGTCGGTACGAGTTACAGAATAGGCCCCCAGCGACGAAATGAGCTCGATCGACGAGCATCGGTCCCCGATGGAAGGAAGAACGCAAGGGCCTCGTGCATTTTTCCCGGGTTTTTCTTTTTTACTCCCGACCGGGGGATTTCGCCAAGCCAGACAAAGTCTGGGCGTAAACGTCGCCATCTTGATATCGCTTTCGCATCTGTAATACGCGCCGAGAGGCAACGACGCGCCGCGACCTTTCGTTTCATTGCTTCCCTCAATAAACTGGAATGCATTTTTTATTGATATATGTATCGAGCCATCTATATTGAACTCGCTAGACGACCTATTTCTGGGGAAACAGCGGAAAGGGGATTGCCATTTTATGCTCGGATGCAACTGTCTTTCCTGGGCTGCAGGTGCTCCACACCCTTTCGGATCTAATAATATTACCGTGAGACGGCTCCTCGAGGAGAAAATCGTGTCGAAAGGATTGTCCGAGGAATTAAACTCGGAGCTCCGTGAAATGGCATAGTTGTCGATGAGAGCGGAGTTAATCGATTATCCCCCTCCTAATTAGGAGTCAGGGGAATCGGGTTTGCCGAAGTTACAACGCGAGTCGGCCTATCCGCGAGGACGGAGTTAGGCCGCTCGAAACGAGGCTAAACTCCCGAGGGATCGTAACTCGTCCCTCCCCTCGCGATCCATAAGTCTTATCATTTTTCGTCATTTAATAACCGACAATGGGAGCGTTTAGTGGGCCGTTGAGGGAGATCGATACGTCCATAGCCATGGGCCGCTCCGCGAAACTTTTTCATTCTTCGCATGCAGCGAACGTCCGTATCTATATGGGAGTCACGAAAGCGCGATTGATCGCTCAAGTTTGTTGTTCCGAATGATTTATAAGCGAGCGTACACGGTGTTGCGACATCGATAACAAGAAGGCCGTTATAATGTGGTCGTCGCACT